TTGGCAGATGGTATCAGTTCTCCTCTCTGAAAACTGGCTTTAGCTGCAGCTAATGAAGCACACAAACAATTGTTACTGCTAAGTTATATTTAATGTTCAGTATGATGCCTCAAAGCAATAATCTTATACCGTACTATGTTTAAAAGTAAGAATTGATAGTGTACCACTGTAACAATACAAAAGAACATTACAGTCACATAAAAATACGTAGAAATTCAAAACGGAATTAACTAGGGCCCTGTGCACCTCTGTTTGCGCAAGTCTGGAGGATGCCAGAAGCCGAATTTCAGTGGCAGTAGCAGACAGGTCCTGATATCACGTTTTTCTTTATATCCTCTGAGAGGGTGGCATTTCTCAGCTGCTGGATATGACACATTAAATTTCCATTTGATGACAACTCTGTAATGAGATTTCTGTAGCTTTTCTCGTTGCCTAGTCACTAAACTGCACTGGTGGTGAGTGGGTAATCGGGCTGTAGTTTTAGGGCATGCAGAACTCCTGGCATCTCATTAATGTATAATGGCAGGAACATTTGGACATTATCTCTCCTCAGCCATAGCGGAGGACCTGCCCGTTGATCTTTTTTTCGTGTAGCTAGAAGGCAGAAATTACATGAATTGCCAGATGTATTCATGCATAAAGGACTGTTATATGCTGTATTTTTTATATAAAAGATGTAACTTTTTTGGGAGGCAAGGGAAGTGCAGTTTAGTTTCTGGTGGGCTGTACCTGTAGTCTTAAGTGACATTTTTCTCAATATGGATTTTGATTTTAGGAGATGTCCAGCATTACTCCCCCTTTCATCCCCCTCTTGTGGTGCTTGAGAGGCTAGAGAGACTTTGATCAAAGGGACCTGTAACAAGGTCTGTAAATAACTGACTGCTAAGTCGACAAAGAAGATGATTTTGCCTCCTCAGACTTTACATGCTACCACTGCTGAAGGCACGCAGAAAAGTCTCTGTAGATATTTTATCCGGACTGATGTTGCCTATTAAACACCCAGAAACTTCAAATTGGGCTAGATACCTGAATTCATCCAATGTATCACAACATGGGAGAGCAAAGCAGGTAGTTGAAAGAAAATGTTGAATAGAATAATTTTGATGTGGATAAAAAAATATTTATCTCTAAATGGTACCATCTTTCTCATTCTTTTCAGTCTTTAATCATATTGCTTAATTCACTTCTGACACATGATCGATAATTAAGCCCCTCTCACCCCTGGTTTTCATTGAGAAAATCTGTGTTTAATTGCTTTTGCTTTGGCAAGATTTTCATAAAAGTACATTTTGCTGTCAAAAGGAACATCACGCTTCCTCAGAAACCCTTTGTCAGGATGGTGTGACTGTTGTTTTTGTGTGTGATCCTGTGTCTCTTCCATCTCTTCAAATGGATCCCGGAATTGCAGGTGGCAATGTAATCTCCAAGGACGAGCGATCAGAAAATTGCATGGGTGAGGTTTTAACATTGTAGTTTATTCATGGGCTATTGGGGTAAGCGAAAGGCAGAGTGGAGTAGCGCCAGAGGTAAATGCTATTAAAATAACAGAAAACCAGGGAAGCAGTTCTCCGCTTCTTGACAGAGCACTGGCATGTCTGACTTGGGAACCTGTCAGCAGTAAGAATGAAAATTCCCCCATCTGCTCTGAGCTCGGAGTGGAGCTCAGCCAAGCATTGAGAACTCCAGCTCTGCTTTTGAGCATTCTCACACACGGCAAACCCTGTGGAGATACAAGTGTGTAGTGTGTAATTGACATTTCTATTTTATCTGAAGACCACTCTGAGGAACTAAAAGTTTTTAGAAAGCAGTAAACTGACTACTGTAGAGCTGCGTGAGCTGGGTTTTATTTATCTTTCACTGCTTGCCTTAGTTACTGAGTGAGAGCTGGTATAATTTGTTGTGTTTCGGGGGAGTCGCAGTTGCTCTGTGGTGAGCAGGAGACAGAGGCTCGGTACGTTCTGGCTCTCACTCGCCATTTAAGTTCTCTGGGCTGGATCTTACTTCCTTCACAAAATTAAGCCGGTGAGCCCAAGAATGTTTACTTAACCTGTGGATCACCTGGATAAAGATTCTGCATGAGCAGCAGGTCCTTGCCAAAAAATTGGGCACTGAATTAGTGACCCAGTGGACTTGGGTCTAAAAATGTCAGGATGTGAACACACTGAGTAAAAGAAAAAATAGCACTTTAATTCTTGTGCAGTCACGGTTCACAATCCCAAGTGCTACCCAACAGGGCCCGTTACCGTAGTAGCAATGTAGAAGAAGAAGCAAGCCTTCATCTTGTATTCGATATGGGTATGATAAATGCACTTTAATGGAGGGAATGTAGCTTAATTACTGCAATGGTGTCTGGATCTACAAATGAAACAAATGAAACTCCAGCTCCAGAGCGTACTTGTGCCTTTTCCATTTCCAGTGATCGTGAAGAAGGGAAATATTCTGTATAAAAACCCTGTGATTACGTAGGCAGAATGAAAGGAGCAACAGGCTTTTGGTTCATGTTCATTTTTTTAAATTTTCTTAACTTTACCTGGACTAGAAGGAATTAAATTAAAAGTTTAAAAATGGGAAAGATCACAAATGTGTGCTGGATGTTGTGGTGTGAATGAGTGGCACTGTGGCTTATTGTACTTATTCACCTTCCAAACCTGCAAGAGGACAGCAAACCTGGCATTTCTCAAACATTTTTTTACACTTTAAACTCCCTGTGTATGTGACACAATTTTCAATGTGTTCTCCCTTTATTAGATTTTGTGACCCCCTCCCCCCTATAAGAAAGCAAAATTGTTCCTTGGTAGGCACATGCAATTGCTCCTAATAAATCCTTTAGGTTTCACGTCTGTTTGTTTATATTGCTTGGTGAGGTTTTTGCTCTTTTATTACCAGTTTGTAGATCCCAACCCCCCACATCTCCCCCAGCCACAGCCTCCCATTTTTTGAAGAATGTTCACGGTAATTGAACTCAAGGCTTTCAGCTCAGTTCATGAAATAAAGCAAAAATGTAATACATGAAACCAGGGCACAAAGAGAATTAGTTTTTTTGTTGTTGTTTTTTCAAAGGAGCCCCTGCAGTCTTTGGATTAAGTCATACATTTTTTAACATTGTGCAGCTAATGTGATATGGGCTGAGGTTAGAGGCTTCATTCGATTTGTACTGGCTTGCCTGTTGCCACCAATGTCATAATTACCTCCAAACAACAGTCAAAATGTCATGGGAGATCCAGTTTAATCCTGTTTTGCTTTAGGGTCCAGTGTAGTGTGTAATGATAGTATTTTTTTAGATGGAAAATTTTATTTGTCATAAATACTACCTGTAGGAGCTCTTGCGGACACAAGTACCGGAACTCTATATCGAAACGACGTTAGCTTCTGTTGGTATTTATAAGAGCTGACTTTACCAAGCTCTCATTCATTTTAATGGCTGATAGTTAAGGTGTTGTGCTGAATTATTGAAGACTCCGGGTGCCTGAATTTCTGTTACAGCTACTTAATTACAGGTGACCTATTTGCAGATTGTTCCCCAGCCACTGTTTTTGACAGGTTATGACTTGATCTTTTTATGTGCAAATGAAGGAAATGCAGAGTGCTGTTCAGTGGGTGTTAAACAGAATTACAGGATAAGACCATGAACCAGAAAGTAAATCCTTTCTAGTCTGAGCCTGATTGTCTTGCTTTTATTTTTCTGTGTTGTGTGTCTGTGTTACCCCCAGCTTTCCTGTCTACCGGTGTGGTCGTCAATAGTTCTTTCTGCGAATTGCAAGTTTCCATAATACAAATTGGCTGTAATGCAACTGGTTCGAGAAGCTGTTTCCTGAACACGGGTGCATGTAGGCTATAACACATGCAGAGTCCAAACGGCTATCTGGCAGCGCTGCAGCACACCTGACATGCTGGTGTATTCTCCTGTGTATTGACCCAGTGTCCATGAAAATGATGAAGAGGATAGCACTTACAATAGTTTTTATTTGAAGCACAATTATGTATTGGCATTGTAATAAAATTATGGTGAGTGCTATTCTTTTAATCAGTTTCTGTAGTTGTCATTTGAGGATCCAGCACCTATTGTAAATTTAAATCGGTCTGTCAGTGCCCAACCTGCATATGCAACAAAGTTGTGTATCTGCTCCTCTACTATATTTTCATTCTTTCGAGACATTGGTATGAATATTGCTGCTCCATTGAGTGGCAAAGGTATGAAGCATTCTGCTAGTGGTAAAAAAAGGAAAGCTATTACTCTGGAACAAAAGCTTGATGTTAAAGTTATATTAGCGAAATGAAAGAACATATCATGTATACTACTGCGCTTAGTAGTGCGCATTGTTAAAGTTTAAAAAAAATGCTCTCTCGCCTCTCTCCAATGCAGAATTTCTCATTGCTTAGTGATGTAAATACTGATGCATTATGCCTTATCTATTTTTCCAGTGTTTTCTGTTTAATGTTAATCACAAATACACATGCAGATGTAATACATTTAATCTAATAATTTTTCTATTGAACATGACCAATCACTATAGACAAAATGCTTTTATTATTGTTGATCTGTTCTCTCTGCCCCCTAACTCCTTAAATCCCATTGAACCAGTGGTTTCTGTAACAAGATTTTCTGTATTGCGGTGTTTTCCAGGAACACAAATCTCGCATTGTAGAAGAAATGGCTGTATTGTAGTGCCAGGGGGCTTGTGCCAAGAGAGCATGTGGATGTCGGAACCATAAATAACAGATACTCTGTATGCTGTGTGTATTACTGAGCTTATGTTTGCCACTGGACAGTTTATATATCTGTTTTAGACACCAAAGACATACTGTAACTATAGTTAGCATGTTTTTTAAAATCAATTCAAAGAAACCTAAGCATTCACTGTATAAACATGTCACACATTTTAATTCATTCAGTGCTAGCTTGTCATAAGTGGAGCTATAAGCTGGTCCAGTGTGTCTGTAATAAGCCATAAAGAGTTTTCTCCTAGTCTTCAAAGCAAGTTTCCCTTGTGCTTTCACAGTGCACGTGTCGGAAGGATATGGTGAAGATCTCGATGGATGTGTTTGTGCGGTGCCTGCAGCCTGACCGCTATGACCAGTGGAAGCAGGGGAAGGATGTGACGGCGCTGGATCACCTGAAGCCCACTGACCTCACCAGCCCCGAGCTGGAACTGTGGTGGGAGAGACGGGCCATGTTGAAGGACAAGCTGCTGCGAAGGTAGTGGACCATTGAAAAAGATGCCCCTTGCATGGCAACACTAACATTACAGAGACCTCTGGCACAAAGGCTACAAAAACAAAAGACTCTGTGGCTCTCTCATTACATTTCAAGCATTAGTTGTTATAAAAGTGCACATCCATGCCTATGTGGTTCTAATGAAGTTGACTGTATCACACAACTGTGCTCTGAAAGTTGCAGTGAAACAGCCAGATTTGGTGCTTGTACAGATCATACCACGGGGCTTAAATTCCCGTGGACAAACCACCCATGAACCATTTTCTTCCATATGAAAAAAGCCATCCTGGAGTCAGAGAGGCCATTTTTGAGCTGCCCTCTGTTGTGTGCTGCCGTTGTGCATGTGTACATGCTATTGATGCTCCTGTCTGTACGTCTGGCACATTTCGGTGTCACAGTGATACACAGTGATTTTCATGATACAGTTTGCTGAATAGATCAACTACTTCCCTGTAAGTTTCCTAGCTTTTTTATATAAACCAATGTTTTCCTGTACTTAACCACACTGTTTACAGTTTTTTTTTAGTCATACAGCAGCTGAAATGAAACTCCTAGTTCATCTTCAAAAGCTTGTAGAAAACACTCAACAGTGGAATAGCCCCACATGCAGCCTGCTGAATACAAACCATCAGGGTTTTGTAGGCAGGGCCTTCGTTTCAGACTTAACTGTAGCACTTCCTTCTTTAGTTTTAATTCATCATATACAGAGTGTCCACTGTGTGGGCCATGTCTAGGGTGTTCACTGAATACATAATCTCATTAACCAAATGGCAGGTCTGAGAAGTAAGATGTACGTTGGCTACATGGCTGTCAGGGCATTCATATGATATAATCCACAGATGCCTGACCTTGGAGGTCTTTGAAAGCCCCAGACATCTTGTGCTCCATAAACTGTATGAGAAAACCAGCCTGCTCTGTTATTGTGCTTCTGAAGATTTTCTTGTAGGTATTTGTATGGAGTCTGATTTGTGAAGCTGTAGAACCATTCTAAATATGTACACTTAAGGTGATTCTGTGGGGAACTAGGGCACCACATTTGAGATTTGATCTTTAATTTTGTAATGCTAGCCATTAGAAATCTGTTGTCTCATCAGTGAGGTTTTCTCTAAAGCTACAACAATCCACTTGGCAGTGAGCTTGTAGCTTTTAGTTTCTGCATAAGTAATGTTAGTGCTTTAAACTTCATAACCTAAGAGTTGATTTTGATCAGTATAAGCAGTTTAATACTGTTCCTCTTACTAATTTGGCAGTGTTACCCCAAACACCTTGAAAGGGGTCAGAGTCAGATATTTTTCTTTTTACATGCAAATTGTGATAATTCAGAATTCCTTATACTTATACAGCACTTTTCTGGACACTCCCCTCAAAGCACTTACAGGTAATGAGGACTCCCCTCCACCACCAGTGTGCAGCCCCACCTGGATGATGTGCCAGTATGCTCAGCACACATCAGCTGTCAAAGGGGAGGAGAATAGAGTGATGAAGCCAGTTCATAGATGGGCATTATTACGAGGCCACGATTTGCCAGGGGGAAATTTGGCCAGGACACTAAGGGAACACCCCTGCTGAGATCTTTAATGGCCACAGGATTAGGGCCTTGTTTGTATGTCTCATTCGAAGGATGGCCTTTTGTAGTGATGAGGATAGAGTGACTCTGACTGCAGAGTGAGTTCCCCCTGCCGGCCCCACTAACACCTCTTCAAGCAGCAACCTTAGTTTTTCCCAGGTTTCCCATCTAGGCATTGACTGGGCTCACACCTGCTGAGCTTCACTGAGTAACCAGTTGTGAATTGCAGGTGATGGTCATTTTATGCATTTTGGTTTCACTGCTGCTGTTTGTAGGTGCCTTGCTCAAAGATGCAGTCCTTATGTTATTCCCATTTGATGAAAAAAGAAATTTTGTTTAAGGGTTTACGTTTACCAGTGTAAGTGAAACAGGAGAATGAATGTGACAGTGAATTTCTCTAATGCAGTATCTACTGACGGCCTAGGTATTATCCTCAGTTAAGGACTTGTTCAAAGCAATTGAGCTGCAGTGACTGAACTCACTCCACGCAAAATAGCTTTTTCTGGGATTCAGTTGAAAAACCTAAATAAAAACAATGAAGCAGTAACTGGACTAGAAAATCAGTAAGATACCAGAATGAAAAGCTTTACGCTCCTTTGCACCCTGTTGTTTCTTGTCATTTGGTAACCATTACTGTTGCTGATTTTCAGCACACACTGTAGAAGGCACCTTTTACCTGTTTTTACTTAAAATGGATTCCTCTGCTTTGGTAGTTCTCATCAACTTTTCTTAATACCGCATTAATACTGGAAAACCAGTACTATTGCCCTTTTTCATTCAAATGTGTCCTTCAGTTCCTGTCATCACATTTATGTGGGCTACAGCTACATATTTTTATCTACTGGCCTGATTCCTGTCTTCAAGGTGAGAATGAATTTACATGTAACTTGAGACATTACATGAAACTAGATTACTTGAGTGGTTTAAAAATAAAAATATATAGCTTATGCTCAACAATAAGCCCAAAATATGACACAGAGTACATTGCAGGCAACTCCATTGAATAAATTGCAGGCTTAAATTCTGTAATCTGTAAAAAACCAAACTGATCAGGGAGCACGCTGGAGAACGAAGTGGCCAAAGCTACAGTGCTTATGTGGGTTAGGGTTAGGATTAGATTTTACTGATTGACTTACTGCGAATTGGATCAAAAACAAACAAATGGAACAATACCATGTTATTTATAGACATGTATAGAAAATAAATGTTAAGTAATATTTAGACAACTTTAAAGTAGAAACACAAATTTGTACCGAAAGGATTTCTCTGTTTCACTGGCTTTTCTCAGAAATAGTTTCAAAATCGTTTGAACTTCACTTTAAAACCAAGAACCTGCATTTTTATTTATTTATTGGCTTGTTGACTGTGGAGAGCTCTCGTCTTTAATTTACTGTAGCATAAGCCAGTGGTTTGAGAAATTAGAAATTTCCAAAGTTGCTTTTCTGTGAACAAAGCAGGGTGGGAGGCGCTGGGGTGAAGAGAACGACTGAAGTTTCTCCGCCATCTCAGTTTGCATAATGGGAATTGATCACGGCTGCAGCTAATTGGTCAACAGGAGCAAAAGCCAATACACACGACAGAGTCCTGGAATGCTCTAATTGGATTAGAAAATATTATGAATGACCTGCCAATAAAAGCAGGATTTTTCTTTATTCATTACTAACACGCAATTAGGAGAGAAATATATAGTGCACTGAAGCACAATAGTTGGGAGTAGTAAAAAAAAAAAAGATACTTGGGATCACCTGAGACAATGAATTTACCTTTTAAAGAAGGGCACTTTTTTATTCTCCAAATCAGGATTGTGATTTTATTTTCCATCCCTGCACTACATAAATCATTTTTTCCACCCATAGTTTTAATTTGTGTCTCCTAGATTGTTTTTCATGTTAATCCTTAATTAAGAAGTCCATTTGGTGCATTTGAGTTACCTGTGTTGTCTTCTGTCACTGGTTTTGGCAGCTAATAGCTATTGTGTAAGGACATTCCTATTAGCCTGGAAACATCTTTCATTATTGATTCTAGGGTAGCAGTACTTTTTTGTACCATGGTGTTCAAAATCATAAGAGCTCTTACAAGTATGTTGTGCCATCTTAACATTAGTGATTTTAATTTTGCACTTAAATGAAATATACTAAGATTGTTTGCCTTTCTTTATTGCTTCCTTATATTATTTAGATATGAAATATCAATCCAACTCCAGTTCACCTTTGAAAGATTGAAGCGCTGTTCTAACTGTTTCTGTTGTCTGCACAGAACTTGCCTATATTACATATGTAAACTCCGCTTGACTGTCTAAGAATTCTCTTGAGAGTGCCTCAGAAAGTAACTTCTGCAGTTTCTGGTTGATTTCAGTTCAGTGTGGATAACTCTTTAAATCTTATGTATTGATCTAGATTTTGGAAAGCCAATTTTTCATGAGGGGAAATTGAAAGGGAAAAGTTATCAAGCCTTTATGAAGTATACAAGCCAGATATTAATATGTGGAACTACTGCATATATTTGGTAGTTCAGGCTATCAACCTCAGTATCCGTAAAAGTAATTTATATGTATATAATCTCTACTCATATTTAATCCACTAAAAGTGTACAGTGATTTAGAACACTGAGAAACCAGTATGTTTGTAATGGAATTGGTGGGAGTTTTCTCTCTCACCTGGCCTGAAAGAGTGCTCCCGGTAGATTCCGAATGGCCAGAGTCCATTCTAATTCTCTTGTTGGAGGTTACAAATGCACCCTAAATGGAATATGACAGGTGTTTGCTTATTGTTGGATTTTATCTGTTTGTTTGTTTCCTTTGCTGCTTCTATAGTGTTTACTAACCCTCATCATTTGGCATCAGGTGTTAACTATACCAGAATCTAAATCGTTGTTATAAATTAGGAAGAGCTGTGTTCCTAGTACAGATCCATGTGGTACTCCACTACATACCTCGCCTCAGTATTGAGCATTTAACTTTTCTGTACTTTCTTTTTAATGTCAATTAAGTTCAGATTTTCCTTTCAGATGTTAACATGAAATAACATTTTATTGGGAACTTTATGAAAAGGCTCTAATATTCTGGAGAAATCATACAATTCGCTCTGTTTGGTTCCATTGTTGTTCAGAGACCTCTATCAAGTTAACTGAAATTCACCTCTACTAAATGTATGTTTGCTGTGCTCTAGAAATGTTGCTAACTTTGCCTAGAAATATCAAAGATGGTCCACTCCTTTTTTACAGTTAGAATTATTGTAAAGTAAATGGGTGCTACCTTAGCAGTTTTCTCAGTAAGTGGATACTGCCACTTTATTGACAGACTGCTGTAATAGTTTTACTAATGGTCTAAGAAAAACATTTCATTTTCAAAGTACAATAGGAGGAATACAATCAAGTGCTGGATATGAAGTGCTTCTTGTATCTGTAACAACTCTTCCTCTTCTATGCTATTATTATTTTTGATGTAATACTTTGTGTTTGCTCAGCCTGAGGCAAGTTTTCTCTTCCTACATTGGTAAACACCTGAGTAAAATAATCATTAGATGCATCAGCTATTTCCCTGTCATCACATAAAGGTTTCCTATGTGTATTTGAGACAACATCCTTTACCTTTCATTTGCATCATATTGTTGAAAATAAATGTTTATGAAATCTCAGCTGCAATACTTCTTTTTATCTCTTGGTGTTCCTATTATCCTGGTTACTTAAGTTCAATCATAGCATTGTTTCAAAAAGATGTAAACCTTTGTTTTGGACAGTTTCAAAGTATGTTTCAAAGCACAGCATGTTCTGATCATAGTTCTCTAATGGTTTTCTGTCCTCTGCTGTGGGTTTGAGACATGATTATTCTGGGGGGTTTGTGTGTAGCTGGTGCCTGGTGTGTAACTCTGATCCCATGGCTGTGTTCCGCAGGGCGATGCGGAAGATGAAACAGGTTCGTAGGCTGAAGATGGAGGATATCAAGGCACTGGCGGAGGTGGGAGTAATGGTCGACCCAGTGGAGCACCAGCGCATGGTGGAAGCCAGAGAGGCAGAGAAGAAAGAAAAGGAAGCGGCGTCCGGTGACCAGGAAGAGCCAAAACATGTTGCCAGTTCAGGTAGCTGGGTGCTGATGGGGCATCTTGGCGTCTTCATGTAACACACTCAGCACATGGTGTTGGGCCCCTAAGTGCAACCTTTCCCATGTCATCTTGCAAGATTTGGACATGGTGTTTGTTGATTCTCTCACAAGAGAAAAGAATATTCTTCACTCACGAATTGATTATATATAGACAGTAAGTCGTAGAAAGATACTCAGATTATCAGAAGTGTCTATAAAATATTTTTTTTCCATGATCAGTGCTGAGATGATCGCAGCCACCTGTGTCCTATATTATCCTATATTAGGATGTTTCCAAAATAACAAGGTGGATGGTACAGTACACATATACTGGAAGTTCGCCCAGCAGTTCTGCAAGTGAGCTGGACACTATAGTATTAACCAGGTCTTTGCTACGTCTGTCAAGCTGACTTGTACTTAGGCTAACTGTAAGAAATGAAATCTGAGTGCTCCCAGATTTCTCTACAATTCTTTTCATGTGTATATGTTACATTTTAAAAACAATTTTAACTTTTATCATTGATGATAAATATTATTGATGCCTATATTATTACCACCAACAGTTAAGTGTTTTTTCATGCTGGCAAAAGCTATTGACTGTCATTAATTATTCTCACGGTCCTCATATGCAAATGAGGTATGAGGTATTCTGACAGTATTCCCTTTACTCACGGCTAAGCTGCTGTTTTCCCAGTAAACCCTATTCGATAAAGAAAAGGCTCAAGATGCTAACAGTCTTTACTGCTGTGGTAAAACAGCTTTACGTATGACCCTAGTTGTATTTAAATTTCTTCTGCTACTTGGGCAAATGTTTTTGTAAACTGGCATGGAAATTTATTGTTTTCAGTTCTCTACCACGCAAAGACCATATTTCGAATGTGTTGTAGGTGGGTTGACACAGCAGAAGTCCGGTCCTTAAAGAAGCCTTTAAACATGGCTTCTGTTCTCCAGTTCAGCCTGTATAATTTAATCAATCAGATCAGACAATGACATATAGCTGAAATATTTATGAATAGAAAGTGAACAAATTGAATCAGCAGCTGATGATCAGCTCGTGAAGGAAAAGCTGCTCCGTCACAAATGGAGCTCCCGTCTCTTCTTATTTCTCCAGCACCTCTAGACAAGAGCCAGGCGGGGCGGCAGCTGCCCGTGGCAGAGGGCGAGAAGGCGAAAAAGAAAAAGAAGAAGAAAGCCCCGGTGCAGGGGGGGGCGGCGGCGGCCTTGGAGGCTGCAGAGGCCGCTGGCTTGTCCCCAGCAGAGCCGGCGGTGCGCGTCCAGGAGGAGGGGGAGCAGAGCTTTGAGGCGCGTCCCATCATCCCCACCCTGTACGTCATGCCCAGTCCCAAGAAGGTCATCTTCGATAAGGAGCGCATGTCCTGCCAGGAGGCCTTTGAGCAGTTTGCCAAGAGCAAGGCGGCCCATGCCTCTCCCATCAGGAGACAGGGCCACTGGGTGAAGGACGAGAGCAGTGACGCCGAAGAGCCCGGGGAGGGAAGAACCGAGAAGAGGGGCATCCAGGTTGGTCTTGTAAATGTACCTTCACTAAACACCCTGTTGTTGGTATTTTGCAACATGGATCTACTTTGTGGTCACTTACATCTTACTTTTCCTGTACGTGTTCCAAATTGTTGTCCTTATATTCCCTGTGTATATTAATCTCATAGATAATTTTGTTAATTGAGGAACCAGTCAGCTGTCGAACTGGGAGGAAATGGGGTTTTTCCACAGAAGGGAGAAGATCCGCTGTCGAATTCCACTTACATAAGCTTTTCTATTTCAAAAAATTTAAAGCAAAGGCCATTATTTTGTTTTACTGTACTTGGCTACAGTGCTTCAAAATTGTAAAGTCTGCATCTGTAGTATTCTCTTTGAAGACTTTTTGGAGCTATTTAATACTTGATCATTTTCGTGTGTTTTTTGTAGCTCCTTTCGCAGTGTATGTACAGTAGACAGTAACTTCCACAGAGTTTGGAAACTACCTTGGTGGCAGAGATTCCATTACTCTTCAATAAATCTTTAAGGAAAAAGAAATGTAAAACATTTGTCGTTGGTTCTGGGATGCTTTTACTTGAATATGCCTTTTGTTATTGTCTACTGTACGAAGATGAGCCGATACCTAATGATTTATAGTTTAAAAGTAGGCCTTTATGCTGTGAAAAGAAAATAAAAAGTCACGGGATCCAATATCAGAAATGTAGAGGGAGGTGTTAGTGGTGTTATCACTTCCAAATATGACCTTTAAATTGTGTGTTGAAATGAAACAGAAAATGAGGAGGGTTTTGTTACAGCAGCAGGATGGGGCTTAGGAGTCCAAACAATACAGCAGAACACATCATCATAGCTAAAACTATAACCTCCCTAAAAACTCTCCTTAAGTGACAGACTTTATAAAGAGCCACTATACTCCCAAATGCAACTGTCACTTGTAGGTGTTCTCAGCTCATCTTGTGAATGACTTTAGGTACCTTTAGCCAAGTTCATAGTAAAAGCTAGTCTTAAAAGATCATGTGTGTTTATAACTACATATACCGTTCTCTGACAGTATTAATATGCTGTATGCTTGCAAATCCTTACCGGGGAATTTACTTCTCAACTTGAAACTTTCCCTCCTTAACAGACGTGAGCACTAGGCTGTAGAGAAGAGAGGCCAGTGAGTCTAGCTGGGAGGCTCATTCAGTTCACTCTTTACGCCAGGTGTGAAAACATTACTGGCTTGCATTTAATTCATGCAGTAACCATCCTCCAGAAGTAAAGTATGCGAACTGAATTTGCATAAGCTATGTGCTATGTACATTTTGTGGTTCCATTTCCATGCTTTATAATTACTCAACTGCACTGATTTATAATGTTCTTTTTATGGAACAGAATAATAGCTATAAATAGCTGTTCTCCCATATTCATTATATTCATTGCCCACAGGCTTAAGTGATGTCTTGCTGTTCAGAACTAATTAAGTCCCATTCAAATGTCAACCTACAGTAAGTTCAGATATGTTGTAGCTCTTTGGTGTCTTGATGAGAGACCTGCCTCGGAAGTGGCTTTTAAATAACACTGGCCTCTGCATTATAAGCCTTTTTTTGCCTGAGTTATTGTCAGGGTACTTCCCAGTTATTAAAAGCATTAACTTTTATACAGTTCCAGACAATAGCATTGGTATCCTGTATCTGAAACAGTTTTTTTTTCAGAAATAATTATCCTAGTTTTTGTTATAGGTGGTGTTTTGATATCAGTGATGGCTCTTCTGAAACCGAACACCTGTTCTTACTTGAAAGTGGTAGTTGAGGTGTTCCAGGGGAATTGGGAAGATATTTTGTTCCAGCACTTAGGTCTGCATCTCTGTAGCTATTTATAGACAATAAAGACCATGAAAGGGCACTGAAGCATAGCCTGCTGCTTGAGTGTGACTTTTCAGACTAATTTGCTACTGTAGAGAGATGGAACAGTATATATATATCTGTGTAGATCAGTGCTAGTGGGCATCTGTATTGACCCTGTAAAAACCCCCTTGTACTTAACACTCCCAACTAGACTACACTACCTACTTGGCTTGAAATGGGCCACAGGCAAGAGCACACTTAATAGCAGTCAGCATAGATGGAGCTTTGTTCAGGAAAAGAGGAAAGGATATGGTTACCACTGAAGCCCATTCTGCCCATCTTGTAGGTTTGGTTGTAAGCAGCACATTGGTTCAGTAAGAATGCCAAACTATTTGTCTATAACACCTCTGCATTTTATGCTGCATTTACACAAAAAATCATTTTTTCCTCAGTTCCCTAAATATGTGCAGTATTGTCCATGTTCAGAAAGAATAAAATCTTGAAATCAGGTTTAACGGGAGATGAACACCATGTGAAAGGGTCTGCTTGCATGTCTTGTCATTGTTTCTGTTTTCATTGCTTGCTTTTATCCAAGGTAAGTTATTAGGGGTAGAATAAGAACAAGAGAACAAGCAGTTCATTTGTGTTAATCTCAGAATTGATTGCTACTTGTACAGGAGGGGGTGGTATTCATATTTTTTTTTAACTCTCATCTTCTTCCATCCTTCCAAGTGTTTGGGACTGACAGCTGTCAGTCACTGTCTTACAACATAAGAACAACCTCAAATGTTTCAAAATGTTCATTTGATATATGTGAAATATAAATAAAATTACTCTTCAGTAATTTAGCATTTAGAAATAGCACCAATAAAGAAAACATCCCTCTCAGTATCAGCCCACAGGAGCATCAGACATTTCACAAAGCGACCACAGCTGGGCTGTTCTTTTTAAAGATGTGCTTTATCTGTGCATATGAATACAACATTGAGACATTGAGAAAATCTAATCAAATCAGTCAGGGATTCTGGAAGTAAATTGGAATTGGGCTTTAAATACCAAAAACATTTTCATTTGGATTTGTAGTTTCTTTATTGGGGAAAAAAACTTGCGTTTTATCAAAAACTTATTCAAGTACACGTTATCTTTTGATCCTGTGGTCCCTGTAAGATGTATTGCCAACATGCTTTGCTCTCATTTATTAGGTTTTTGCAGGGGATAGAGAAATAGGCCTTAGCAATGATCTAGTTTCTTTAAAGAGGAATAGGTCAGATTCACAGAAATAAACACAAATATTTCAGTGATTGTCATTTCTTGGCTTGTTCACATAATTCAGTATGCTAAAGTAACTTTCCATGTTTTGAAGCAATATTTTTATCAGTTATGCAGCAATGAAAATAAGGCTCTTCGTGCATTCTGAATTGGAGGAGAATGTGGTGACGTGCAAGGTATTGTAATGGTGTTTAAGGTCTTAAGGTTATCTCTACTGGCACAAAATGTCTTCATTTCTTTCTACTCTGGGTAAAGGAGTATATTTCCCTTTCTCGTCAGTTGAACGGTATTTGTAAAACCGTGCTGCTTTGATTCCGTCTTCCAGCCCCCCCCGTCCTACTCCAAGCTGAAAATGAAGATGGAAGTGAAGAAAAGTCGCCGGCACCCTTTCAGCAAGCCGCCCATGCGCTCCCCACTGTCCGTGGTCAAACAGGAGGCCTCCAGTGATGAAGGTGAGAGCGTGGGGCGGGCGAGTCCACAGAAAGATCTCGTTTCAAACTGGCAAGAATTATGCATTAGTGTACATGCACCTATTTCAGATTTGTGGCTCATGGTTTCACAGGAAGGTGTGTATGGGCTAGATATTGGACTGCTGAGCTGACAGTGTGCCAGTGGTCACACCTAAACACAGGACTGGGGGAGCTGCTGTTGCATTGCATTGGATTTTTGCCTTAAGGTGTATTTTTCCACTTTCACACTTGATCTACTACATGACATTTTTAAAAAGGGAGGTGTAGGTTCCAACTAAATGGTTTTGGAGAAAATTTAAAATGCGTGACATTAAACCTACTTATAGACTGTCAGTTATCTGTGTTGACCAAGATTGTACAGTAATGTTGCAGCACTGTCTTCTTCTGCATTGTGGCTCGTCACTCTTACCTTGTTGCAGTAGCTCTGTTTATTGGATTAGCTCCTTCAAAACTGAACAGAGGCAGTATGTATTCTGATCTATCTGCTAGCCCGCTGCCTTAAGATGTAGCGTATGTCCAGGGATGTTTTCTAATTAGAGCCCCCATGCACAGAAAAAACTAAAACCCTGCCTACAACACTGCAGAGAAAACACTGACAAAGCTGCAGGTCCGTCTCTTAGTGGCATCCCCTTCATTTCCACCTACTGCATGTTTATTTCCCTGATAGATAATACTTTATTAATCCCATAGGGAAATTGATGAATTGATGTCCTTGGATAAAATAAAAACAAATCATGGAGATGCAGTTTAAATCTAAATCAGTCAAACCTTAAACAGTAGCTCAAGATGGGCTTACGTTGGTTTCATCCTACACAGAGGTTTTATTTTTTTTGTTTCAGTTGTCGTTTTTGAATTATTTAAACTGTCTGGCGATAATTAGCACAGACAGTTGTCTAACCACATCTGAAGATGATCTTTTCCGGTTGCTCTAACAGCAAAGCAACATAACCGTGTCAATACAGGGCGAGGCATTTTAAAGCCTGTTTCCAGAGGGCGCACTATCGGAAATTAGCTGAAACGATTAGCAGGCTGACTGAGGGGTGGGGGGGAGTGGGGATGTGGGCGTTGGAGACAGGCTGTCACGGTGGCCTGAGCAAAAGCTCCCTTGTGGATTTACTCCAACAGACACTTATTGATTCAGGGATCATGACTTTCCAATTACCAATTTCAAAGGCACTTTCAGCCGGCCGCATGGAAGTTGTCAGGCCTGTCCTTCTAGAGGCTCAGCGCCTCATCTCAGAGAGTGATGGGTGTAAGTACACTGCCTTAACAAAGTGCAGGCACACCGAACACACAGCACGGCGTCCTCTAACATTATATAGCACCCAGGGCCAGAGGCCCCTGCATGTTTTACAGGTACATTTTTAATTAGAGACCAATTAAAACCTAAAAAACACAAGCTATGTGACCTTTTCTGCACATAATTTGTCAGCTGGGTAATTGCAGTCTGAGGTGGGAAGAAAACTGTGCTGCTCATTCCTTTCCTGAGCTGCAAACCGGTGGTTCTCAGTGTTCCTTGCACTGCTGCAAGACTCCTGTATCCTGTCCTGTAAAGCTGCAGCTTCTTCAGAATCAAATGAAAAGTGAACTAGAGGACAAAAGTGAAAAAGTACACAGAAGTGCTTTCTAAACTGTGAACAGGGTGCATTTCCTTACTCAAGGTGATTTAAAAGCCTTTAACAAGATACCCATTTTTTATGGCAATAGCAATCTTTCAAGAAAACTCGTAGAGACCACCAAGAATTGGTGGACGGCTCACGGTTTTGATTGAATTAATATCTATGGGAGTTGTAATTGAGGGGGGCTTTCAGTTAGGATATGTGGCTGTTATGCAGATTCAGCAACTCCTTGACAAAGGTTACAGGAGTATTAACTACATCATATGGCAGCAATGATACAGAGAACTGTACACATGTATGTTCATCAATTTTATTTACAGAAATGTCTGTAATTTTACTTGATGGTGGAGTGACAACACTGAGACCATGCAGAGCAAGTCTCAGACATAAAGGGTCCTTTGCTCATCATGTTTTCCTTCCTCCAGTTACTGATCCATTTATCTGTGCCATTATCAATCTAGGTCTATTTCCTACGCTCATAAAACATTCATCTCCCTGGAATCCCTGTCTATATACGGCTTCCCACAGGTGACAGAGCTGTCAGACTTACAGCTGCAATTGAGAAGGGGGGGACCACTGCACTGCAGAAATAGAACTTGATTTCAAGGTATAATTTCCTACAATGCTGTGCAGTCAATAAACTTGAATGTAAGAGATGGTGAGGCGATTTAATTCGTGTTGAACTTCCTGAAAGGTATTGACAAAGTCAGCCGCAAGGGACTGCTTCAGACACTGAAGAAATGATGACCAGTAGTCACGAGAAAAATTTGAGCAGGTGCATTATGGACTGAAATAAGATGTTGCTACAGTACAAAGTATGGTGGGGGTCTCAGAAAACCATTGTATGGTAATGCATTGAAGTCGTTAATGGTAGTGGAGAGATTTGTTTAAAACAGAAAAACACTATTCATTCTAGTGCATAACAGATTTATTAATTGCGATATGTAATTATTAATTAATATCGCTGCACTGCAGTTCAATTGTTTGAGTGGATTTCATGAGAAATACACTTGTATTTCTACATAATGCCCCTCATTTGAGAGTGCATGTCGGTGCATAGACTCTATCATGTAGACCTACTCTGCTGGGCCCCTGAGCAAGGCCCCTTAACCCCAGCTGCTCCAGGGGCGCTGTACAATGGCTGCCCCTGTGCTCTGACCCCAGGCTTCTCTCCCTATCTGTGTGTCTGTGTCTCATGGAGACCAAGCTGGGGTATGAGAAAAGCTTAATTCCTAATGCAAGAAATTGTATAGGGCTAATAAAGTGATGTTATGTTAATTTCTAATTTGTCTGCATTTCATTAATGATTGTTTGAAAAGTGACAATTAAATTTTTCTTTAATTTGAAAATGTTTTAATGTTAACTGTAGTGGACTAAATTATATGCTATAGTAGTTAAGCTGGTAGTGGTGCTTTAATGCTTTATAAACCATCTGGGATAATCCAAGATCTTTGCATGACTGAGTTCATTTAATTGGTAGTTTTCATGTTAGGTTCAGCTTAATCAGCAGTTCCCAACCTCCTTCCTAGGGATGCACCTGCAGGTTTTTGTTCCAGCAAAGTTCTTTACTTAATTAAAACCTTAATTGATCTAACAAGTGATTTGATCAGAGCTTTTGCAAGTTTTCCTTTTAATCAGAAGTGAAGTTGGAGATCTTGAGTTTCGGATTGCATTAGTTAAAAGTCAACTTCTGATATGTTCAGGAACAGCAAAGGGCTCAAATTAATCCCTTTTTAGGGCAAGCCCTGTACTGGGAATAGGTAGGAAACAAATCTTGTTGCAAATTGTGCAAATGTCAGAGATAAATATTTCTCAGCTTGTCAGCTTGAGTACAGTGAATGTTGTCCACCAATTCTCAAATTACAGTTTTTTTTGCCCAGATATGAATCCAGAGAGCAGAGAATTTACCTTTTGCAGGTAAATTCAACATCTGCAGTGCCTTAGCAGTGAAAACTAAAAGTTTATAGTTTGTGATTTAATATGTAAAGAATAATAAAATGAGCACTGTATGTAATTCAAAGTACTGTAAAAACTGTAATGAAATGGTAGTCAAATTTATGTTTTTTGAAGTGCATCAGCCTTAGACTTGCTTATTTATTGTGGATTTTGTTGCTTATGAACTGTAGTAAATTACTCCATGTCAAATTTTAAGGTCTGGTACGAAATGTGCTCTAGCATACTAATACCAGTCGTGTTTTCCTGGGTATTTTCTCATTTTCCTTCCACTTAAGCTTTTAGTTAAATAAATGCTAACAAGACCTATGCGTGTGCAACTTGACCTTTTATTTTCTCTAAGGAGTTGAAAAGTTGTTACTCAGAAAATATGGTGTTTGACTAATATTTTTACAAAAACATTTTACCCTAATAAATCGCTTAAAAGTTTGCAGTTAAGGGTGAATCACTCAAGACCGGTGTGCCCTCAGAGAGGGGCTACACAATCTAGACCTAGTGTAAAAAATCCAATCTGTCCATTTCACTTTTGTCAATGAAAATGTTTTGATTGATCATTTTAAATTGTTGTACCTCTACAAATTTGCAAAAGTATCTGAGTGTTCAGCTGGTTGTCAGAACTGTGTAATGATCTTCAAAAAGCTCTTAAAAGTTCATTTTCAGGCTTTAAAATTCAACTTCTTCATTTACTTGATCATGAAGCTTGCACTACATTTTGGTGTTATGATAGCTTTTTCATCAGATCAGTTATTTTTTACCATATAGAGATTGTTTTCTAAAAGGCAATGTAAAGATCTTAATGTCTGTTTAAATGTATGGGGAGTATCCTTTAAAAGAAATCCCCGAGTTTAACATGCTCAGCTGTAGACAGTGGGGGGATAAGAGGGAGTGTGGGTGGTTTTGAGTGTCCAACTAATGCTGCCTTCTCTCCACAGAGCTGTTCACCTCATTCGCTACAGAGGAAGAGCTGGATCCTGAGGCTGTGAAGACAGTCCTGTCTCACCTCTGGCAGAACAAGTCACACAATTTCCTAGCCGAGCGGCGCTTCAATGCTGCAGTGGCCCTCATTGAGCCTTACTGTGCCATCTGCACCCTCTTCTTCCCTTATATACAGGTCAGCTTGTGTGCCCCTGCTCGGGCTATTTGTCACACCCCTATGATATTATAACTTCTGCAGAGTCGTTCCTCTTGGTTTTTCTCGCTACTGACCACATCCTAACACGTTTAAGCTTATTGGTGCTTGAAGACACTTTGAGGATCACTTTGGAGAGCTGTGGTTCTTTGCAGGTGTTTGTCCTGGAAGCTGCATTCTATGCGTCTGCTTCTGAAACGCTTTTTACTCAACATTTGATGTTCTGAAATGTTCCTTTTCTTGCTGGGGCTAAACTAAGTGGTGTATGTATGTTGTCTAGGGTTGTTAGTCTAGTAGCTGTACCTAACTTCAGACGGCATCCTCAACAGACTCTTTTGATAAATCTGTGGTTCCTGTCAGCTGACATATTGCAAATAATTGCAGTAAACTCAAGATGTTGCTTTATTATCCACACATTTCTATACGGAATTGATTAACTATCCTGTTATTTTCTTGCAGCCGAATAAGGACCTCTCCCTGTCAGCAGACAGTCTGACCATCCCTGTGTCAAAGTGCGGCACGTACACTAGGCCTCTCATTCCAGAGATGTGCTTCAGCTCAGGGGGAGAAAACACTGAGCCGCTGCCTGCCAACTCCTACATTGGTGATGATGGCACCAGCCTGCTCATCTCCTGCTCCAAGTGCTGCCTGCAGGTCCATGCCAGTGAGTTCCCATCAAATGTTGTTCTGGTACATGGTTGAGCAGTAGTTAGGACTCTGGACCTGAGAGTTTGGGGTTTCTGAATTTGGATACTGCCCTTTCCTTGGGCAAGGTAGCTTGTCCTGATCACCTCTGAACTGTGTTAATGGGTACCAGTAGTGACCAAGGCTTTTCCTAGACACCTTCCCCATTTAGTGGGAGTCCTCCATTATCATCTTAATGCATAGAAGCTGCATTGCTCTACAGCCCAATGAGCCTCAGTGCTGTCTTAATCATTCCCTCTTGTTCTCTTGTACCAGCAATGTGCTGGTATAAACAGGGTGTAACCAGCCTTGACACCTCCCTGGTCCTTAGCACAGTGGCCACGTACACTGTGACAAGAAAGGTACTGTTGAATTCCAGAATCACTCCAGTGCTGCTTGCTTCAGCTCTACCTGTTTATACTTTGTAGAATAAGCCAAATTTGCATTCTCCCTCAGCCAATATTGTTCCTTTGCCATCTTATACTACAGCTCTTATTTATTTTGAATATGATTAATGGTTCAACCAAGTTGACTTAGTCAATACAGTTCCATTTAGAGAGGAATAATTAACAGAATTGTAAACAAGTAGGCAAGCAGCCGTTCAGAAGCAGGTCTTAAAACAGACATAAAATGTAACTCTTCCCCTTCCTCTAGCATACGGTATAAAATCCGTGCAGTGAATTTGCTGTGATGATTTTGATGTATCTGTTAACCTGCTCTCGTGCGTCAGATTTTTCTAATGGTTTGTCGCATCTTCTGTTGATTTACAATAGTCTGTTCCCCCATTGAACAAGAACACCTAATGTGTCACACTGGGGCATTACATATTGAACCCTTGAGCACTTAAAGTCAAGTCACTTTCAGTTGATTGATAAGGTGAAAAAATGCATTATGAATCCACCAAGAAATGGTATAAACCTAAGTGAGTCGTTACATGGGGAAGTCGTAAAATACACAAAACAAATAAGGCACACAATTGCAATGCGGTACTAGGAATGCTGAGGCCTGTAACAAAATGATGTAAGATAATGGCCTCTCCTTGGTGTTCTGTATGGGATTAAAGTAGGTGCAATTTGCTTTTGTTAATATTTTCATTGACAAACCTTATTAAGCTGTTTGTTGATGGATTCTAGTGAAATCAGCATCTGTGACCTGGGTTCATGGGGGAGGGTCTCTGTTGCGAGTTGAGTACTTGCCATATAATGGGCCAAACAGCTTGTTTTTCAGTTGAATTCTTGATGTCTTTGGCAAACTTTAATTGTGTGACATTCCTGGGAGGAGTGGGAAGTAAATAAGATGGTGGTAGGTTGCACACATCCAGAAATCTTGGTGTAAATGCACATATCTGGGCCTGGTTAATGGGACATACCTCTTTTTTTGGCCAGTTTTCACTCTGCTGTATTCCTCAGAACTTGCTGTTCCTGCTTGTATTGTCTTAGCTGTCCTTATCCAGTGTAAATCGCTGGTTTTCACTTGTGGTCCTGGAGAGACTTTGGATCTTGTAGGTTTCATTCCATTTGAGCTCTTGTGGCTTAACCAAAATCATTACTTCATTACTGCAGTGGTCCCAGTTACCACAGTTTTGGATCTTTGGGATCAGCAGTTTTGTAGTGCAGTAGTGTGAATCAAGCAGTAGTTGTACCAGGTTTGTCTGATAACGAGAGAAACATGCAGTGCTGGATTTCAAGTTCTTGCTGCAAGTCACAAAATTCTAAAGAGCTTTTTCTTGGCAAGATACTAATGAAACGTCAGTCACAATATTTACTTTCCCTCATCCTGAACTTTAAAGATTGGCATTTGCTTAACCCATTCATGTATATAGTTATTGCATTCTAAACAGCTAAGCCAATTACCCCCGGTGTTGTTGGCTGTATTTGTTAAATTAACAAGTGGTCCATGTCTCTTTCAGCTGACTGCCTCATCCAGTTGTGTGATGGGGATGAGTGTGTGGATTGACAGTTGCACTCTTGAGTAGAATTTACAGTGAATAAAAATGTAGTTTTTTTTTAAACAACAGAGCCTTGGAGGGTGTAGGACTAAGGTTTTACATCTGTGGCCAATTCACAAACAAGTCTTTCCTATTTTGTGTATCTTATTAAAATCCATATTCTGAATCTTTGACATGCATTACTGTAGAAGAAATTATTAATTTTCTTTTTGTGAATACAATTTTTAAAATTTAGCTGCAATAATGGTTCATTTACCCAATGGTCTTCATCATTCTTAGTTTTGTTTATCCCAAAGGATAAAATTGCAAAATCATGTAAAATTAGTAAATCATTTTGCACCACGATCTGCCTGCTTGAAAAAAAGTCTTGTGCATGGTATTCATTCTTGTTTTGGTTATGAGGCTGTGGGTATGGGTCAGTTTGATGAGCAACTGTAGATTTTTAACTGTCTGGAGTTTAGAGGGTATACCAAAACTGCATATTCTGTGTGGAGAAGAAAAGAGGTTTCTGATGAACCATGACAAACACTAATGGCATCTTAATAGTAGAGATTGATAGAATGAAATATAATGACAGATACATAACGGATGTCCGAGTGACATAATTTGCTTTACAAGACCAGGACCCAGCCCACAATATCTGGATGATATAGTTCAGTTCAGTTTTTTGTTTATTAAAAGAAGTAATTACCATTATACTCAATCACAATCTTTAATAACTTTAATAAGCATTCAATTTGGAATTGGAATCAGTCTTTCTAGATTTTTTTTGAGAGATCAATATACAAGGCGATAATGAAAGAACTGTTTAATACACTTGGAAATTGACTGTGGACTCTTTCACTGATATTTTTTTTATAAAAAGAACTTGCCCACAGACGTTGTACAGAACCTTGTGAACAATAATGCAAATTTGCAGCTTTCTTGCCCGTTCTTGTCTGAAGCTTGTTTTAAGTGTCTCTTGCGCTACAAAAGCCTTGTTGTGTTGGTGGCCCACTGCTGTGCTCCTGTGGAATCTCCCTGTTGCTGCTCCTGTCTGTTCTCCAGTGGGACTGTGGAGAGCGGGAAGGAGGCTGTGGAGCCTAGTGGCTGTATGAGCTGAAACGGGGGTCTAGAGGCCTGTGCCCAGTGCTTCTTATTCAAGCCGCTACAGGGCTAGCGAGGGATGATTTGTTATACACACTCCTGCCTCCCGGGGCTGTTGTCTTCTTTTTTTCTCTTGAGCTGGAAAAACTAAAATATGGAAAGTCAATTCCATGTTAGTTCCACCACAAATCACCTACCTTCCCCCAGCCCCTTTCTCTACTGCTATTCCTCATTATGAAATAATGACAACATTCGCCACCTTGCATGACCTTCACAAAATTAAAGTAGTTTTAGTCTGAATGTGAAGGAGCAATTTAACAACATTTTGCAGCCTATGTAATGTTGAATCGCTGAAGTCAAGTGGTGGTTAGCACTGCTGTCTCACAGTTCCAGGGCTCCAGGTTCAGTTCCAGCTTGGGACATACTCCTCATGTTCACGTGGATTCCTCCAGGTTCCCCAAGGAACTTGACACACCGTGAATGGTTTTATAAAAAAGAAGGTTAAATATTGCCAAATCTAGGTGTGTAAAGTTGGTAGAGACCTATCCCAACAGACTCAGTTGTAATTGCTGCCAAAGGTGATTCCTCCAAGTATTAACCTGGGGCAGATACAGACTTATCTCATTATATTTTCTAACTGCTTCATCCTGTTCCACAGTCATGGGGGAGCCGGAGCCTATCCCAGCAAGCAATGGGCACAGGGCGGGGTACACCCTGGACAGGACACCAGTCCATCACAGGACACATAGACCCAGACATGCACACCAGGGCAAATTTCTCTATAAACCAGTTAACATAGTGTACCAGTCTGTGTTTGGACTGTGGGAGTAAACTGGAACACCCAGAGGAGGAGAACATGCACACTGCACCCCAGGTCTGGAACGGAGCCCAGGGCCCGAGTGCAGCAAGGCAGCAGTGATAACCCCTGTGCCACTGTGCCGCCTCGTGTTTGTACGGAATAGGGTATGCCGATGAAAGGAAAAGAAAATCCTCATTTAAATACACACAGATGGGTATGTATGATACAGTTAATGATGGCAATTCAATATTTGC